AAAATATCCAGAGGGATTGATTGTATTAATATCTTGCATAACTGTTGTATTACTCATTTCCAAATATGATCTTACCTTTGAATGATATGCTTGTTTTGCTTCTTCTTCAGATCCACTTTTCAAAGCTTGATTCAATTCTTGTAAACTTATGCATAAATCAAAGAAAGCTTAGAAAAAACTCCCATGTGCTGAGAGTATTGGTATATAAAAATTAATTCAAACAAGAAGCTTGGCAACTAATATTTGTCTACTATTTGAGATACACAACATTAAAACCTGTGTTCCACAGTTTTTAAGTTTATAGTATACTAGTACAGTTTATAGTAAAAAAGCAGACAATTGATTAATTATTATACAAATTAGCTAATTAATATGCACAGATTTTTTACCCACAAATAATCAGGTCCAAGCCTAATTCCAGAGCACATATGTAGTATCTGGGCAAGTGCAGCTGAGTAATTTACTGATTCACTAAAAATAGAACTGATACAACCACAAAATGTCAAAGCGTGTGAACTGCTGAATTTGAGCGCAAGTTGAATGGAATTTAAGATGCCACTAGGCATGATTCGTGTATCGCCGCTGATAAAAAGAGTCAAAACTCTATTCAAAGTTGAACTATTATCATTACATTGCCAGAAAGCAGTTGCCATATCATTGAACAATATTCTGAAGATGTTCTATCATGAATGAGATATCTCCCTATGCATAATTTCTGAAACAAACAAACAAAATGGCGGCACCCATCTTGGAGTATATAGAATTCTTCTATACTCCTGTAAGTATACATGTTATCTATAGAGCTACTGAGTAGCTTCAACAATTTTCACATTTCGTTCAGTTCAGGGGCTACGATAGAAAATATAACCATTAGCTAATTACAATGAATAACGGGCGGGATACTAACAATTGTTCATTATCTTATCCCATGGTTTCATTGTCAGAATCAACTATCGGCAAATCACACTTGGTATCAAATCATTTAAGGACATGCAATTACCTTGTTAAATTCAGTTTTTCACAAAGTTTTTCTATTTCTTGCATCTGTTTTAAAGCCTCTGCATCATCTGTGGTAAAATAGTTGTATTTCTGAGTGAAAAAAAGTTGGATATGACAGATTAATGCCTACAAGTTGTATACCATTCAGACAACAGTTAATATACTATTCCATCATAGAGAACAGACATCCAATCAATTACCTTGCATGTATCTCTAAACATCTTTTTTTCTTTCTTCATTGCTTTTTTCAAAGCATCTTTTTCCTTCTTTGCAGCTTGTGCCTATTGGTGGTAAAACAGATTTAATTAGGATGATATTAGAATCATAAATTATTAAAATAAATAAATGTGATATTAGAATCATAAATTATTACAATAATGTGATATTAGAATCATGAATTATTAAGATAATGTGATATTAGAATCATAAATTATTAAGATAATGTGATATTAGAATCATAAATTATTAAGATAATGTGATATTAGAATCATAAATTATTAAGATAAGGTGATATTGGAATCATAAATTATTAAGATAATGTGATATTAGAATCATAAATTATTAAGATAATGTGATATAAGAATCATAAATTATTATGATAATGTGATATTAGAATAATAAATTATTAAGATAATGTGATATTAGAATCATAAATTATTAAGATAATGTGATATAAGAATCATAAATTATTACGATAATGTGATATTAGAATAATAAATTATTAAGATAATGTGATATTAGAATCATAAATTATTACGATAATGTGATATTAGAATCATAAATTATTAAGATGATGTGATATTAGAATCATAAGTTATTACGATAATGTGATATGAGAATCATGAATTATTAAGATTATGTGATATTAGAATCATAAATTATAAAGATAATGTGATATTAGGTTCATAAATTATTAAGATTATGTGATATTATTAGAATCATAAATTATTAAGATTATGTGATATTAGGATCATAAATTATTAGAATCACATGACATTAAATCAAAATTTAGGATTATAAATAAACATGACCTTTAATAACCTGAGAACATTGTTATATTACCTTAACTCTTGCTTCCTCTTCCTCTTTTTCTCTTGCTAGTCTCTCAGCTTCTAAAGTTGCTTGTCTTTCCTGAAAATTTAAAATCAAACTAGTCATTGTCAATGACTTTTCCCTGGTCTGTATTTTGATGCATTTAATTTGGGGACACAAAAGAGAGAAAGAACAATGTCAAGGAAATTTTAATGAAACAAAAACTTTTGGCATGCACATGAAACCTAGTCTAGTTTTTGTACAATATTAAAATTAAAATAAATTGAGTGTGTCATAGAAAAGGGGAGAACACAAAAGAAAAATTATTTATTTATTAATTCATTGAATTCCAAAAAGTGAAATGTCTAAAGATGCTTGAAAATAGAATGGCTGCCAATCAGCCATTTTTAATCAAAATGACATAAACTACTCCCCTATGATCAGTGATCAATTGCAAATTTGAATAAAATTACATGAATGATGTTTTTGGGATAAAAATGTCTGCCAGTTGGTCAAATGTCAAGAAAACAAAAACAAAAAGTGCATTATCTATACCATTTATGACTTGTCTTTGTACTCGCTTTGATCAAAATCTCTCAAGGCATGTCCATGAATACATAAAAGCAGCATGGCAGCCAATGTGGGTCATTTTCATAAAAACATAAAACTGATAAATCAAGTTTGAATGAAATTAGCCAGGCAAGCCAGAGAAACTGTTGATGACATTGAATTTTAGTGTTTTTTTGAACAAAAGGGAGACCTAATGAAATGAAAAACAAATCAACATGCATATGTACGCCATGACGACTTGTCTTTGGGTCAACTTTAAATAATAAAGTCTATCAAGACACGTCTGAGACAGAACATGATATTATAATACTGCGGTGCTGCCCATTGCTGTAAGAGTGCATTTCATTCCTAGTCAATCCATACCATATGGAGAATTCTTGCATAAACACAAACAGACAAACAAGATATTTGAATCAGCAATATCAACGTGTTCTCATATTTGAATATATGAATCTTTTACATTTAACAAATAATTGTAATTTTCATTTGAAAAATCACTGAGCGTGTATTCGCATATTGTTTGCTGGTAAACGTACTACATGTAAATATATATACATATAATGTGCTAACCACATTGTTGATGTCTTACCCATAAAGCTACCACTGCACGTATATTCAATATTTTGAGGTACCGGTATTATGTTGATATCAAGGACATTGCACTTTTCATCAATAACATAGTCATTTATTTCTGAATCTGACAGATCACTGTGCAATAATTCTTTCAAACAAGTTGTGCAGTTAATGATTCCTCTAAATCCGACAGATCACTGTACAATGAAGACAATCTTAATCTAAAACTTACTTTTTCTCTTTCTTCAGCTGCTAATCTTGATGCTTCTTGCCTTGCTCTTTTTTCATCTTCTTTTCTTTTTTTCTCATCATCTTTGAATTTTTTAATTCTTGGATCACAAGCATAAGCATTATCTACAATAAACCATACAGTCATTGTCATAGTTGGCATAGTAACTAATTAGAAAAGATCGTTGACAGGTAGATGTTATTGGTATCATAACATTGGTAAAATAATGTCAGATAAGGATAGTTGGCATAGTTGCATTTTTTCAAGATGGTAAGTATAGTTAACAAACAAACAAGCAGCCTGTCGGCTGAGATAGAACTGCTGTT